CAGTAATTGTATTCTTCAGCTCTGTTTGGGTATTTTTATATTTTCTAACTCTTTGCTAAAAACTTCACTCTGTGCATCTATACTCCTCCTGAGTTCTCTGAAACTCTTTGCCATATTTACTCTAAACTCTTTCTCAGATAGATTGCCTGTCTCCCCATCATATTTCTTCTGGGATTTTACCTTGTGCCTTGGCCTGAAAGATATTCTTCTGCTGCCTCATATTGTCTCTCTTTCTATCTGTATTTTTAGGTAGGTTAGTTACACTTCTTGACCTTGAAGATGTGGCCCTCTGTGGGAGATGTTCTATGCATCCCAGCAGTATACTCCTCTCTTGTCACCCAAGGGCCAGGGTCCAGCCAGTCCCGGGTAAAATCTAGCCTGTATTTGCAGATTCCTTCCACAAGCTTTGGGATTGTTGTTTCTTTATTTCTGGTGTCTGCCCCCTGGTGGATAAGGCTAGACTAGAGGCTTGTGCAGGTTTCCTGGCAGGAGGAGTCAGTGCCTGCCCACTGCTCAGTGGAGCTTGGTCCTGGCCCTCTAGTGAGTAAGTCTGTGTCTAGGGGTGTGTCTAGAGGTGACTGTGGTTCAGGAAGTCTGCTGATGGGTGGGACTGTGTTCCCACCCAGTATGTTGCTTGGTCTGAGGCTTCCCAGAACTTAAGCCTACAGGCTGTTGGGTGGGGCTAAGGCTTGGTGCTAATGACCCAAGCAGCCTCCAGGAAAGCTTATGTAGATGAACACTCCAGGAATGTCTTTTCCCCCACCAGCTTTTATGTCCCCAGGGTGAGCCACAGCTGCCCCCTGCTTCCCCAGGAGACCTTCCAAAACCAGCAGGAAGGTCTGGCCCAGGTTCCTATAAAGTCACTGCCTCTGCCTTTGGACCTGGCATGCACAAAATTCTGTTTGCACTTCCCAAGAGAGTGAAATCTCTGTTTCTTCCAGTCCTGGGAGTTAAGCCCATTGGCCTTCAAAATCAGATGTTCTGGAGTCTTCTTCTCCCAGTGCTAGAACCCCAGGCTGGGGAGCCTGACGTGGGGCTCTGAACTCTCATTCTTGTGGAAGGGCCTCTGTAACTTAATTATTCTTCAGCTTGTGGTTGCCTTCTTGGAGGGGATGGGGACCAATTATATCATGAGTACACCCCTCCTACTGTCCTGCTGAGCTTCCCTCTTTATGTTTCCACTTGAAGAGGATCTTCGTTGCTAGTACCAGTCTTTTTTTTTTTTTTGATGGTTATTTAGCAGTCAGTTATGGTTTTGTTGTAGGCATGAGGATAGGCAAGCTCGTGGTCCTACTACTCCACCATCTTGACCGGAAGTCCCATTATTCCCTTACTTTCTGTCAGCAACATGATTAACTATCTGTTGTGTGACAGGAGTTGTGCTAAGGGTTAGGGTTATACAAATACTAGTAGTTTCTATAGTTAGTCATTACTCCCCTCAAGAATTAATCTTTTATTCATTTAATTTTAGTCAACAGTCATTTACTGACTACCAACCATATTCTTACATTTTCATTATTACATTTTCACCTTCATTTTTCTGTTCTTCAGGGCATTTTTGCATTGTTGCTGATCTTTGCCTTATGCCAGAAACTTGTGACAGCTGGCATTGTGGAGACTGAATGGAAAAAAATGTGCTCCAGACGCAAAGCTGTAAGTAGAATATAGTTCACAACCCTCTAGGAAAATCACACCTACAAAGGATCATTTATGGAGAATGTAATCTGATGAGACTTTGGGACTGGGAGCGTCATGGAAAAAAATGACCCTGGGGGGGCAGAAAATACCAATAATGAGGGAAAATGAAATAAGTTTAAAGGGTGGACAGAGGATCCAGTTCTATGGTATGTGCATCCTCTTAATAACCCTGAGTTCTGCTTGACTTCCATCATCGACCTTGATTTCAGGATTTCATACTTAATGTATAAAAGCATGGCTCAAGGTCAAAGACTGATTAAGGCCACTAGTTCTCCCACTTCAACCTCAGTATCCCCTTCTCCCCACTCTTTTCATAAAATCCCTCTTCCAAAACAAGTTCAAGGTGGTTCCACAATTGGGAGATATGAATATCCCAGTGACAGATTTATTATCAATGGCTTCAGAACCATAGAATGTTGGGTTTGGAACAGAATTTAGAAGTCATCATTAATTCCTTCATTTCACAAATGAGGAAAATAGGATTAGAGAGAGATTATTTCCCAAGGTTATCTTGAAGAAAGGCCAATCAAAACTAAAATCTAAATTCCTCCGCTATTGCAGTGTTCTTTTCCAAATACTGAATGATCATTCCAGGCAAAGTGTCAGATATCCACTGGACTTGAGGATGAGCCTTGATAAGTGATGTGATATGGATTTGAGCAGCTGGGAAATCAATCCTGGGATTTGGAAACATGTAGAAAACAACATAAATAACATAAAAACTAGGAAGTACTTGATATTCGTACAGAGTGTTGAGAAATGTTCCCTTTGATAAAGGTCAAGAAAAATGTATTCAATTTTGTGTTTTAGAATATAGTTCTCCTGTCAGCTGAAGAAAAAAAAGAACAGGCAATTGAAATAAAAGAAGAGGTGGTTGAGCAGCCTGAAATAGCTCCCCAACCAAAGAATGAAGAAGACATTGAAATTATTCCAGTCCAAGAAGAAGAAGAAGAAACAGAAATAAACTTCCCAGAACCTCCCGAAGAGCAGGAATCCTCACCAATAGAAAATGATGGTGCCCCTTAAACTACTTTTCTGTTTTCCGTTTTCCTTTTCTTAAGCATCAGTGTTCACAGCTTCCAGGAGACATAGTTACCCCCACTTCTGGAGGTACTCTGCCTGCATCCTGCACATCTCTCTCTGGTCTTTACATGGAGTGACCACAGCTCCCTTCTCCCATCCTCATTCAGAGAGTGAATTATATAGGCCATTGTAGCAGATCGTGTCATCGTGTTTCTTGTTTAGGACAGTTTTCTTACATTAAAAGAAAAGGCTGAATAAGGGCTGCAGAATGTGATTCCTTATTAGCCTTTTCCCTGGGTAAGGTGTAGTAGTAGTAGCAGTAGTAGCAGTAGTTGCAGTAGTAGCAGCAATAGTAGGGTTGGTTTTTTAAATTTTTTTCATTTTTCCCTCTGCAGTATGGAGACTCCACACCAGGCGAAAAAAAAAAAAAAGTGTTCCATGCCATCCCTAAACTGATTTAAACTCCTTCCACGTCTACATTTTTTGTGCAGACTCTTTAGCACCACTGTTTTAAGGAAAGTAAAAAATAATAATAATAATAATAATGAGGTACAATAAAGAACCTATTCCAACTATGTTTCTATCGGGCTGGCACTGTGGTCTCCACACCCCATCAGTGAAGCTCTAAGGAGCCAGTACTCAGCCTTGTCTTTGTACAAAGAGCACTGGTTTTACATGGACGTGAGATCACTCTCTGTCTTAACTTCCCCGAACTCCTGCTCTAGTCTCTTGTCTTGCGCTGTCTACCTACCTTCAGCCTTTCATCAAGAGAAGAAAGAATGCCACCATGAGTACCCAAACTGAATATGGTCATCAAGTACTTGTATTTGTAGAATATTTTCCAGTTCATAAAGTATTTTATCAAATAACTGTGATGGATCTTCCATGATCAAGGAAAAAAAATCCCTATCCCTATTTTACAAATGATTCAAAGAGGCCAAGTAGCTTGTAAATACGGAAAGGTAATTTGTCAATGGTCACAGCTAGCAATTTTGAGAGCCTTGTTTCATACTCAGATCTTCTTATTCAAATGCTGTCATGTTTGAAATAAACAAATTGGCTATCCCATGCCTGCATAAATCACTAGAGAGCCATGTCAACAGGTTTTATCAAGCACCTACCCCCTGAGTAGCATGAAACAGGTGTTGCGAGAGACACACACAAGAGTCAGAAATCAGGTTTTACCCCTTGGTGATAAAAAGACTTAGACGTTCACAAACTTCAAAGAATCATTAATATGTAAGTAGCTGTCAGATTATATAATGCAGACACTAAGTGCTACAGGCACTCTGAGAAAGAAGATCATACTTGAAAATAGCATAATTAGTTACAATGCCAAATCGTAGGGAACAGTTACCCTACTTCCTGATTCTTGTTCATATTTAGAGATACTAGTACTTACCTAAACCTGGAAAGATGTCACTATAATCTATCAACTACATTTGAGCATTTGCTACATGCTGAGTGCTACCAGATTCTGGCAGGTATATAGACAACGTAATTCCCCCCTCTGTGATATTTCCACTTTGTTAGGGTCCACCAATGGAAGATATTTCCTGTGATTAGAAAAAAAAAAGGAAGTGGGATATTTTCTGTCTATGTAACATCCTCAAAATGGCTTTAAATGAATAAAACTGTATTTGTGTTCTTGTCAGCAACAGATGATTCCGACATGATGTTTCCCCAGTCTTCTTTACTCTTGTAGCATTTTGACTATGAGAGGCTCCTGCAGCTGTAAGCATATTCACATAACACCAATCTGGGTTTGAACTGTGAGACATCAGGACACTGACTATTCATGTCAATATATTCTTACACACCTCCCCAAGGAAAATGTTCATGGAATAGTCATTAAGAACATATTCCTCACTCTCTGTACTCCAGAACAGGACTGCAACATATGGCAATGGACTAGGATTAGTCCCTGCCTTAAACTAGGGGAAAGGGAAGAGGGTGTGGCAATGGTACACACAAGGCAGACATCAATGAGAAGACCACCGGAAAAGACAAGGTCTTATTTCTGTTTCATTTTCTTGACTTCTGAAATGTATGAGTATCCGTCTCCACGCCCATGGTTTCCTTAAGAATTTCCGTTTATTTTATTCATTTTTATAGTCTCAAATAATTAGTTTTTACTGACCTCATTTATAACTCCTTATGAGACACCACTGATGTATACTCTCAAAAAAGAATGAAAATCCTTGCTATGACCTTCTCCCCAACCATCCCTTGGACAATTTGTTCAAAGTAGGGTGGCTGACCACCCCGGTTTGCTTGGGACTGAGAGATTTTCTGGGATGCAGAACTTTCGGTGCTAAAATCCATACAGTCCGAGGCAAACCAGGATGGTTGATCATCCTAGTTCATGGCAACACGTAATTTTACCCAGTCACAGTCACTGCATAATACAATCTTTTTATACTTAAATTTATGTCCTAATATTCCCTTATTGATACATAATTTTCGTAAGATCATTTTTAGTCGCAACTTAGCACTTCACTGAATCAACAGAGAATAATTCACTATTCCTCTTCTATAATTGGGTACTTAGGGTATTTCCTTTTTTTTTTTTAAGTCACTTTTTAGAGTTGCAGAACTCATGAGCAAGAAAGATAACGTATTTCCTCTTCTCATTATTCAAAATATGGCTTCACATGTCAGGCCTTGTCACACTGCCAGTAGGAAGTACTGGCACTTGTTAAAAACCAGGAAATTAGTTTTTATTACACTTTGACAAGAAACAAATCCAACACACAGAAATGAGTTTGGATTTGATTTGTTTTTAATTCTTGGTATATAACCTAAAACACACATGAGCAATTTTCCTAAGTAAAGTCTGGAAACTTTAATTCAAAAGCTGCTTGTATACCCTTTACTTACCCCTCACCTTGGTGACTTAGTGTAAGAAAATTACTTACCTAGTATGTATTCTGTGGCAAGAGAGAACAAAACTACTCAAGCAAGACATGAACTAATCAGTAGGCAATCATTAATTCACTCATCCAAGAATATTTATTGATTCCAGCTTACTGATGAACTAAAAATAAGCAGAGTCCTCTCCTTTCAGAGCTTCCTATCTGGCTGGAAAGAGAGATACTGGCAATGCACCCAGTAGGCACCTACTATGGGTTGGCTTACTGTTAAGTAAAGAAGGGTATACCTAAAGATAAAAGAAGCTCCCTGCCTTCAAATCTTAATGCCAAACTGGAGATGATAACAAATAAATGTACTAAAAGATAACCAGTAGGGATCCAAGAAAGTTCAATGGGGAAAAAATAATCTTTGCAACAAATTGTGATGGGGAAAGTGGACACCCACATGCAAAAGAATGAAATTGGATGATGACTTCATATCATATACTCAAAGTGCATCAGAGGCCTAAGTGTAAGAGCTAAAAATATAAAACCCCTACAAGAAAACATAGGTGTAAACTTCATGACCTTGGATTAGGCAGTGGTTTCTTAGGTATGACACCAAAAGCATAAGCAAACAAGAAAAAATAAATAAACTGGACATCATCAAAATTTGTAACTTCTGCACTTCAAAGGGCACCATAAAGAAAGTGAAAGCAATCCACAGAAGAGGAGAAGGGGAGAAAATACCTACCAATTACATATCTGACAAGGGTCTAGTATCCAGAATGTATAAAGAAAGCTTACAACTCAACAATAAAAAGACAAATAACCCAATTAAAAATTGGGCGAAGGATCTGAATATACATTTGTCCACAGAAAATATACAAATGGTCAATAAGCATATGAAAAGATGCTCAACGTCACTAGTCACTGGGGAAATGCAAATCAAAACCACAATGAGCTATTGCTTCATGCCCATGGGGATGGCTATAATCAAAAAGAAAGTAACAAGTTTGGGGAGGACTTGAAGAAATTAGGACACTTGTACATTGCTAGTGGTGATGTAAAATGGTGTAGCTGCTTTGAAAAACTGTTTGGCAGTTCCTCAAAAAGCGAAACATACAGTCACTGTAAGGCCCAGCAGTCCTCATAACCAAGAGAAATGAAAACACAGGCTCACACAGCAACTTTAAAACAAATGTTCATAGGAGCGTTACTCGTAATAGGCAAAACGTGCAAACAACCCAAATGTCTTTCAACTGATGAAAATGTAGTACATCCACACAATAAAATATTATTCAGCCATCAAAAGGAATGATGTGTTGGTACATACCACAACATAGATGAGCCTTGAGAACATCATGTTACATACAAGAAACCATGTGTTGTATGATCCCGTTTATATGAAATGCCCATAATAGGCAAATCCATAAAAACAAAAAGTAGATAGAGCCTGGGGTGGG